GGCAAGGAGATATTGTAAAAGTTCAAACAAATGTCCTTTATGTTTGTCACATGCTTCTAGAGAAACTTTGAAGAACTAAGTTAAAATTTTGATTTGTATTGCTCTTAGTAACGTTGACTTATAGCTTTCAACAAGAGCCATAATAGAACACTGTGCTATGATGATCTCTCGCTTCCAATAGTACATGATGTACTACATTTTTGTGTAAGAAACTATAATACTTTTTTCAGGACCGCGGGAAGAGAAATTATCATTTCAGTAAGGAAAACCACATGCTATGCAGCCCAGATTCTATGGGAGTTCCTGGAATTCGAATGTATAAGAAAATATATGGGAGTAAAAAATATATATACTTAAATATTCGAAATATAAATGACTCACCTGGTGTTTGTGTTATGTCTTTTACTGTCTGTCTGCTTCTAGAGCCTTTTCAAAGCCGTTTTGGCGAGTTTTTTAGATTTTGAGTTGTACTTACAATATAAAATACACGTATAACTGAGAAAGCCGGGGCCCTTATTTCTTACTGTAAGTACTGTAGCTTATGCCTATCTGAAATTCATTACCATTTTTTAAAAAAAAAAAATTAAAAAATTTCTTGGTCCCATACTATAACAATTAAATAGAAACAACACAAACACTAGCATGAGGGAGACCAAATACTAGCATGAAAGAGGCCAATCAAGTGACCCATGCGGCTAAGTAAAATCTAAAAAACGTTATCTTAAAACAGTGGTTAAAATGTAATAGTTAAACGGTGAAATCTAAAAAAAATGCGCAAAAGACAGTAATTGAAGTGTAAATTATGAACGGTGGTACGGGCAATTGCGAGAGAGGAACCAGAGACAGGGCATGCCAATATCATTGAAAAGTAGTCTCTAACAAGGAAAAGTAGGTAGCACGCAGTTAAAAATGCTTAGCCTGGAGAATTGTCGGAAATAGCTAGTCTGCAAATAGTGTTCCAGGGTTTTACAATCCTATCAAAAAAAGAGGCCTGAAAAGAACGAATCAATCGATATTTAAATCAGTAGATCCAGAAATGCAATTAAAAAGGAATATAAGATCTCTAATTTCCTTATCATAAGTAAGTGGAAGTAGTCGAAGAGTCAGCAATCACTGTTTGTAGGAGACCTCGCCGATTTTAGTTCTATGTATGCGAATTGCACGCCTCTGGACTCTTTCTAGGATCATTCTCAATTTGAAACTTCCGGAAGACCACACATGTGGCATAAGAGAGTTGTGACTTCACTAGAGAGAGAGATAAAGTGTCCGCCTGACTTTAACATCCGTAATAAGTGGACAGGTTCTCTTCAGGAGACCTAACATTCTGTTAGTCTTGAGTACAATATGCATAACATGCGAGTCCCACGATAGATTGTTCGAGATGATAACGCCGACGAGGTCCTCTTCTTCCAAAACACGTTTTATATAAGTATTGCAAGGTAATATTGATGAGTTACAGGTGATTTCTTCCGCGTGACTGTTAACACTTTACACTTAGAGGCGTTTAACTTCATGTCTGATACATAGCTCTGACGACGTCAGGAAGGTCACTCACTCTGATGAATATCACAGAGCAGGGGGCCAACAAGGCTACCCTGAGGTACATTGAGGTATATTGTATCAAGTTAGGTTTTATGGGAAACCACCGACTCAAAGTTGGCTTAGGGAAGGCATAGGTGAGCAGTTTCCCAGAGACCTAAATTGATCCATCTTGCTTTCATAATTAAGACTTTCGTTTTTTAGCTTTTGCTTCTCCCTTGCTCTTCCTCACGAAAGAAGGTGGCGAAAATAGACTCAATCATGTTGAGGCATGGCCTGTGGTTAATTTGCATAAAATCTTATAATGAACATAACTTTGTGAACATTTATCAGAACCTCTCAAAATTTGGAAACCTCGGAAACATCGGTAACCTTAATTTTCCTGTGACGTAAGAAATCAGATATCGTTGTCACGTGGCCACTTATGGTCGAGTCCAGGAAAGAAAAGAAAACTAAAAATGGGGTGGCGAGATGCCACACAGTATATATTAAATACAGTATTTTTGCTATTGTATCATCATTTCTCGGTTGAATCTGGCTGGAATGGTTGACTCACGTTTTTAATTAATAAGTAATTATGCAAAATAGGTCACGTGACACTTTTTACATGTTAATATCTTTTTAAGAAATTCAAAATTCTCTCCGTTCCGGCGACGGAAAAAAAGTGTGCGGTAAAACAAACATTTACACGTGGTTCAAACTTAGTTCCAATCAACCATTCCTAACCCCATTTTGAGTTTCTTTTTGAGTATCATTATGACGTCACGTTTCACGTGACTACATCACTTGAACCCTAATTAATTCAAAGCCTCGAAAGAATGTTTCTTGAAAGTTTTTTGCAACTTTTCAAATTAAAATGCATGGCCGTAGAAAAAAACAGCTTTATCTTCGTGGGGGGTCGAGACCAAACATAAAGCCACCCTTAACATGCTTGAGGGGTGAGTATCAGAACATACTGAGTGAGAGGATTTTTACCAGGAGCCGATTTTACTGGTTCATTGGTTCATGATTCAGCTAAAACCTTTAACGGCCCTAAGAGAGCCCAGCATCACATTTCTCTTTGTTATATTTTCATGTTTTATATTTTTCTGAGAGGAGGGGGCGTCTGTACACAGGCTATGTTTTATAGAACTCATTCATCACGAGAATATTACGGACGCAACCACACAAGACAAATTCAATCGCTACTTTAACAACTTCTCGTCAATATGTTTTCTCTCTTCCTCTCATCCCGCGGTCCACGCAGGTCTCTCGGGCTTCGCGCTAGACTGTATTCTCCAACCGGGCGACAAGATTTTCATGGAAGAAAGTTCACAAAGAGAAATCTCTCTTCTTACCGTTTAGCTTCCCATGTTTTTCTCAGCTTCAGGGCTTCGACGCGCCTGGGAGGCTAGCTTTTCCACGACTTGAGAATATTTACGTAGTTGCAAAAACCGGGAACAAACCCTGCCGTCCTCTTTTCTATCACCGCAAGCTTAAGGTTGGGTAAAAATAGGGAAAATATTTTTCACACGGAAGTGACCGATCCCTCCCAAACAATTTGCATTTCCCGCCATTGATTGATTGTAGGGGATGCCGAGACTTTTATTCAGAACAGCAGATCGCATATGTGACAACTCCCCATATCCCTGACGAATCTTCCGGTTTCCTTTACGGGTCAATTAATCTTCCGGATAAAAATGTCTTTCCAGTATTTTTTGCTCCGTATTCAGCCTTAAAAATTATAAGTTCATTTTCTTCATTCAGTGGTTTGGGGTCTTTCATCATTGAATTCAATGAAAAAGACGACTGTTTCTAAGATCAACGTACTAGACCATAAACAAAATCATTTTGGGGCTGCGTCGAGTTGTTTTATGGTGGCTTTAATTGGCTAATAACGATGAGAGGAGAGGTTGGGCTACAAAAGGAAAGTCTACAGATTTCAGATTACCTGAGTTGGCATCTCTAAGATCGCTTTCATGGCTCTTCCTTTGTTAAGGAAGCTTATCGAAAATTAAAGCAAAAGGAAAGCCCTTTCTCCTTTCTTCTTTTACTTCGCCTATCAGCTCCCGTCCATGGCTAAAGTTAGTGAATGATTTAGGCGAGATGGCAGGAGTATGAGTTAAAATGAGTGGAGGTCTCTCCACTGTGGGCCATTGCTTGGAATTGGCGAATACAGTTCAGATATTTCATGACAGGTGTGAAGATAAGAAATGATTTTCTTCTAGGAATGTCGTCTCATTAACTGTGGTCTCTCTCTATACCAAGGCAACAAGAAAAGCCGCAAAAATTTAGAAACATCAGTTACCTTCCAAATTGCCAGGGAATGAATATGAAATCCTATCATTCAACTGATTTGTGCCTGGTTTCCGAGTCCCTAGCCAAAACCGTGCCCTAGCATTCAATAAATAAGGCATTCAGTACCCGCCAAATTTTTCTTTGTCCTGTACTAGGGGTGAAAGGGCTAAAGAGAGAGCTCAAAGATTGACACTTCTTCTTGGGAGATTTGACCGTTTCATCAACAAATTGCACGGTCTTTTATCTCTTCCCTTTTTCTTTTGAAGACTTAAGGAGTGAATTAAGGGACGAAATAAGCAACTCTTTCAGCTGCAGTTAAAACAGACAATTTCATACATAAATCTCAAAATATGTCAGTTCTTATCTTATGTTAAATTGTCAAGTATGAACCTTAATTTAAAACGTCGCTGCAATGCCGAAATGAAGGAAATGAATTAGACCCGTGATAAAATTAGATGTACCACTGCAAAGAACTTTTATTAATGTTTCTTTTTTGAATATTTATCTTTTAGTACTGCTGTACGACAACAATCAGATACCGCCTAAAACTACAGGTGAAACTAGCGTGCTGAGAAAACACAATATATCAGTCGGGACACTGCTCCTCTAACATTTAAGTCTTCGCTGCTTTCTTTAGTGGCACAAAACCCCACAGCTTTCAGCCTTGTGATTAGTTTCCTCTACCATTTTTAGGGGACAATTACCAATTCTGTATTGGTAAAGTAAACATCGATTTAATGAACCTTTGTATAACGACGCCCTCGGTCATAACAATAATTTTCTTTACGCTAGTAATAGTAAGATATATGAAATGAACTTCAATATAACGAACCCAAAGTTACAACGAACAAATTTTGCCAGTCCCATGGCTCTTCTTTATATCAGTACTTCGTTTGTCCGAAAAATGAAACAAAACACATTACACGAGATTGACCTTGCTACAGTATATCATTGAAATAAATTGTTGCTTAGACTGCCAGCTAGTCTCCCACTCAGCGGTGTTTTTTTCTTTGCGGACGAGAGAGATACCGCTTATTTTACTAAAACGAAACGAGCAATACTTGGGCAACTTCAGGCAGGCGATATCTAGTTCTCGTTTAAGTTGCTTGCAATCAGATGAAGTTGTGGGAGGATCGACAAAACTTTTTTCTTAACATGATCTCTTTTCCTTTTTCTTGATTTATTTATGATACCATGATTTTTTCTTGTTTGTCGAGAGTAACGTCATCGCCGATAAGTGTAAAAGGCGCCCAGTATTTTACATCGCTGAACTTCTCGGATTCTCTGAGACATCTCATTGCGTGGTTAAGGGACTCGCTCGCACTTCGCCCTTTCTCAAGGTTACGGTAGAAGCTTTTCATGAACTCCAACGTGGCCTCGTCATCGATGGCCCACAGCGACACCAGAACAGAACGAGCACCAGCACCAATAAAGGCACGAGCAATACCGACCACGCCTTCAGCTTTGATCTCTCCTCGGCCACTGTGACAGCAACTAAGGACAACCAGCTTGGCTCGCAGCTTTACACTCATCACATCTGCCATTGTCAACATGTAATCGTCTTTTGCAAGGGTCTGCGACTTCCTCTCAGGATTCGGGCTCAACGCTATTTCACCGGTCTCCATGCACCCATGTGCAGCAATGTGTACTACAGAAACCGAACTTATCTGTGTAAGTACCTCACATTTGGTGGCCAATTTTCCAGTGAGAGGTGCGACGTTTAGAATTTGCCCGATCATCTGTGCTTCTTTCCTGGCAAAAGGAAGCTGTTGCAGCTGCTCTCCATGGCTGTTGATAACGTCACTCACGTCTGGATCTCCTACAACTACAGCTCCACTACTGCTGTGAAATTCTGGACAATGAGCAATAATTTTCAAACTTGTCAGCGAAGGAACTAATCTGACTTTGAAGGATTCGCACAAGTATTTGGAAAAAGGATTCACTAATGCAGCAAACGGAGCAAGCCATAATGGCCCATCCGGGACAATGATTATTTCATCACCATCAATCAGATCTAATATCGGGGCAATCACATAGCTGTATAAGGCAGCTAGAGGAAGGTTATCCTCTTGGCGAATGGGCTGTGAGCTCCTTTTGGATGACCGCCCCACGGAAGAGCAGTTTTCGCGTAACACATCTAAAGACCGATTCTCGCAGTTAACATCAGCACGAACACCAATGTTCTCGTAGGCAAATTGAATTAAGGACTGTAATGTTTCAGCTACATTCTTTGTACAATGATTGTCAAGCTTTCTCAGCCGGTGTAGAACAGGTTTCTCTTTGGAAAGGAACCAGATATCTACTTTCTTTTCTAACACGTTAACAGCCAAAAATATCGTACTCGATGAAGAAGCGTTTAACAAACCAAATTCTTCTTTTGCTAGCTTTTGTTCTCTGGTTTGACTTTTTTGAAAACCATACTTGGATGTCAGAAGATCAGCTAGTCCTTGGGCTCGACCATCATCTGAAGCAGCCAGAGCTTCGTCAATCTTTTCTTGTTTTAACAAAACTCTCCACAGACCTGTGTAAGCGGGGTTACATTCGTTCCGAAATCCAATCTTCCACTCATCTTTGGGCTGTAGAAGACTTCTCATTCTATCAAACACTCTTACGCTTGTTTGGTAATTTTCGAGTGCTTTAGGTAAACGTTTCAACATCTCAAAGCATAGTCCAATATCACTGTAGGCTTGGCCTTCCATGTGTTGGTTTCCTAGATCGTCAGCAATTCTTAGCTTTTGTTGATTCCATTCAATAGCTTTTCTGTAGTTCCCAAGATGCTGGCAAACTGTACCCATATAGCCACAGGCAGCCCCTTCCCCCGCCTTGTCTCCAAGTTCTTGGGCAATACAGAGACGCAAGCTGTAATAGTCCATGGCTTTCTTGTAGTCCCCAAGATGTCGATAAGCGCTGCCGAGGTGGCCATATGCACGTCCTTCCCCTGCCTTATCTCCCAGGTTTTTCGCAATATCGAGGCGTTGTTCAAAGTAATGGAGGGCTTTCTTGAAATCCCCGAGGCTGAGATAAGCGTTGCCAAGATTTCCATTCGCAATTGCCTCCCCATCTTTGTCCCCAGCAGCTTTAGCAATACGAAGATGATCATTGTGGTTGTCGATGGCTTTTTCAAAATCCCCGAGATTGTCAAAAACAATGCCAAGGCCACCAAGTGCAGCACCTTCTGCCATTAAGTCTCCAAAGTCTTTGGCAATTTTAAGTTGACGATTGTAGCATTCTATGGATTTTTTAAAGTTACCAAGGCCGAAAAAAATATGGCCAAGGTTGCAGTACGCACCGCCTTCTTCACATTTGTTTCCAATTTCCTTGGCAAGGTTGAGGTGCATATTAGTGTACTCTTCCGCTTTCTTTAAATTTCCAAGATCCTCAAAAGCTTTTCCTAGACCAGCATATGTAAGCATGAGCGCTTCCTTGTCTCCCATCTCTTTAGCGATATTAATGGCGCAGTGAAAATGATCTAAGGATTTTTTAAAATCGCCAAGGCTACCAAAAACGCTCCCCAGGCTTGCATATGCTGTTCGTTCTCCAGACATGTCTTTTAAACTCTTGGCAATGTTGAGATGTTAGTAGTGGTACTTTTGCGCAGTTTTATAGTCGCTTAGCTCATCGAAAGCGTGACCGAGACTGCTATAGGCCGCTCCTTCTAATCCCCTGTTTCCCAGTTCTTTTGCAACACTGAGGCAACGTTTGTAGTATTCTATTGCTTGTTTATGATGATAAAGAGCCCGAAAGCCATGGCCAAGGCTGCAATAAGCATAACCTTCCCCAGCTTTGTCTTTCAAATCTATGGAAATCCTGAGCGCAATTTTATGGTACTCTATAGCTTCATTGAAACTGCAGACTTTTTGCAAATCATCACCAAGTTTTCGACATGCAAGGGCTTCCTCACCCTTGTCCTTCAAATCTCTCGCAATGCCAAGAGCAAGTTTGTGATATTCTATGGCTTTCTTGTATTCACACCGACTCCGAAAAGCATCGCCAAGACCACTATACAGTTGTCCTTTAATAGCCTTATCTTTGACAAATTTTTGCAATTGCTCAGGCATATGAAACAGTTTCCAAGACTTTATTGTAAGTTCACCATCTTTTGTTTTGCAGAGGTGGTGTTCCATTGGCAAGTGAGTTGACAGTGAACTGCTATAAACCTGTAAAAATAAATTGCTTTTGGATCAGTTCTTTAGTGACACAGAGATGCTGGTGATCAGTGTATTAGCGTATTCTGTATGTCTATAAAAACGTGATGTTAACTATGCAAAATTAAAGCGGTGAATGCTTAAAAAAACTTTATTAACGCTTTTTAATACTTGGGTTGTAAAAAGTGTAAGTTTTTAACACTGATATTTTGCATGGGTAAGACATGTGTTATATAAATATTGTGATCAGACTTTCCGGTAGCGACACCCTTGGAGTTGACTGATTCATTTTTTAACTTCTGCCTACACTGGAGTTGTTATAATTCTGGACAGTTAAGAAACCCTGCTGGAGCAAAGTGTGTGCAAATCCAGTAAGATTCAGGTGTTTGAAATATATTTTCTGTTTGTTTTGCCTTAAAGGGGTAAGGCCTTTTCAATAAAGGGAAGAAATTAAGAGTGCACAATTCAAGAAGAATAAATCGTCAATGAACGTGACAGAGTTCCTGTAAAAGTAAACTAAAAAAAGATAATGCAGATATCATACTACAAATACATTCGACTGCATGTAGCTTGTCGCCAACTACAAACCGTTTCTGTCGCATTGGTAGTTTGTGGATTGTTCTTGATCTCCTTTCTTTTATCGGGAAGCCTGCATTCCATGTTCACGGATAACCTCCTTATTTCTAAGAGCGTCTTGTTGCGCTTGTCAATCTTAAGATGGTCAAGATGGGTAAAAAGGTCGAGAAGTTGGACTTATTAACATTTATTATTAGTAAATAATTATCATTTAAGGTAGTTACTCAAACTGAGGGGTGGATCCACACCGGTTTCCACCGTTTCACTAATACTAGTAATAGTTGACACTACAGCTGCCCCCTCTCTGTATATTGTCGGTCAATAGTATTCTTGCTCGTTGTGTAGCTCTTCGAAATATACCGATTCATAATGAATATGTTCACACATATTCCATACAATAGGTGAGATAAATTACAGGAAATAAACGCAAGGTTCCATGCACCGTTTCGGTTCGATTTACACAGCTTTGATTAAAAGGTCTAAAAACATTCTCAATTTCGAGAATAGTTTATTCTAAACCATAAGAAAAGATTTAATTAGAAGTTTGATTTTTCGCTATTTTATTTCACTTTTTACATTTAGTTCATTCCATTTGCCGGAAAGTAAGCCTTACAAATTAAAAGGACGTTTGATCAATTCACGCTTGCGCATTCTAGTCTTATTTTAAACTTTATAGCGGAAGGACATCTGCCTTGTGAGCAGGGAATAAGTCAGCACAGAATTTGATGGTCGGCGAATTTCTGTAATCGTCCATCGTTTTGCTAGTAATAAGCTAGCCGTTGAATCATTCACTCGTCTTGCTTGTTTTGGGCTAGCCTGTGCCAGGCTCTCAGATAGTATAGTGCGGACGTATTAAAACGAGCAAAGCGAAAATAAGACGCGCGCTACTTGGGAAAGCCCCCGCGCATTTTTCGTATTTCTCTTTACTGAACGACTTTTCACCACTATCTCGGAGCCTGGAACAGGCTAGTTTTGGGCCGAGTCTTATTTCGGTCAAAGAAAGAGAAAGAGTGTCTGGCAAGGTTTAGCTGAAGGTTTCCAATCAAAGATTTGTGAACTCGTGTCTGGCAAACTTACTTAGTGTTAAATATACACTGTTCTACGCACCTTATAAATTCATCCGCACTTAACGAGTGTCTTTTGGTCCATAACTTTCATAACAACTGCTCCACAGAATGTCACTGATAACACGCCACGCAAAAGAGTATCGAAGTATGACTGCACAATTCATGTCACAAAATCTACCTATTGTAAGCTGTTCCTTCGGGACTTTTTGTGTTTTACGTCATCCTAACCATTTCATACTTGCGGACGCAAACAATAGAAACGTCATCATTACCTACCGATTCCTCGCGGCCCCTGTTCAAGCAAATCGAGATTTTTTCTATGTTGACTGTATGACTGTATATTTCAACTGTAAGTACTTTCCTTAATATACGCGCGAGTTACTAGCTAAGAGTACCTCCTCGGGGTCTCGCCTTGTGGGCGAAATCCCTACGGGGGCAAAAAAGAGTTTCCAAGTTGAAATCGGGAAAATGGATTCGGACAGTCAGTAAAAATCCTGTTTGAATGGCTCACAAACCCTGGAAAGGGGACTTTGGGAAGTTAAAATTAAAAAAATTTCCCTGCGACGGCTTTCGGGGGTCGTTTAGGAAATCGGTCTGTATATATTAATTTTATTCTAGATCCGCCCCTGAAACTATACATATATACCCATTTAATCAAATCATGTATACTGTGCACGTTATGGAAAAACATGGCCTTATTGGTTATCAATCATACTGTCTCAGTTGACTTCCAAAAAATATATGTATCTGTAAAAAATGGGTCATAAATCCTACATGTGGTAGCCTTACACAGATTGCAACCCAGCCGTTTAATCAGTAGAGGTTGTGATAGCGTGAGGTAGGACATAGAGGAAAAGACTGAACTTAATATGTTTCCATGACATATCCTTTGTCAAAAAAACTTCGTTTAACTCATATGTAAAAGATAGATTCCGAGAATATGGAGCATAGTAAAAAAGACATAAATGGGTAACTTGTGTTATGTAAAAACGTATCCGTTGAGTTTTAGAACATAAAATTAGATGCCTTCCATTGGAACTCTGGAAAATTAGGAAAACGGAAACCCCGTTTAAACGGGTTCGAGAAAAAATTGTGAACGGGCGAATTTTTTTACCTGTGCGACCCGTTTACACGGAAGGGTAAAAATTCTGTTACAGATCATTGCAGTAGTTAAAAAACATGCACGGTTCCCCGGATTTCTATCAAACGAACTTTGAAACCATTGGTAGTGAAATGGCGGAAAATTCACGAATTCCAAATAGGTAATGATTTCAATCTTGTTCACGAATATGTTGATCGATTCACCTTCAACAACTACGTTGTCATTTAACATGTAAACAAATTCACGTTCAACGACGAAATATATAATATTATTGATACACGTAGACTGATGGAACTGGATTAAATCTTGACCGTGGCGCAAGGAAAAGCAAGCAAAATCGTACACAAACGTCTCCAAGAAATGTAATTTGCGCTTGTGGGAGTAATATTTTATAATTTGTAAACCAGAAATATCTACCCTGAATGATAGAAATGAGCTAATCTCAGGTTGCAGACACTCCAAGACATTTCTACTAAACACTGTCCTAATTTGATTAGTTTTTGTTGCACATTTCACATGCTGTAAGCATCACTTAATTAGCGGACAGACGCGCCATGCACCATACGCTACGCGCCACGCCTATAGTATTTGTTGTTCTGTTTTCCCTCTATCTTTGATTGTAACCGTTACTTTTGGCAGTTGCCTGATGATTGCTTCGCAAGAGGCATTTAACTCTGAGTAGCAATAAATGTTCGAGATTTAATCCACTTCCATCAGTCTACTTGTATTTTGCTGTAGTTACACTATTTTGTCTATTGAGCACTATTATAGTCGATGAGGACATCACCTTGGTACATCGAAATATTATTCCTATATATTTAACAATTCTTTTTTGAAATCGAGGTGAATAGTGGCTAAATATTTACCGAGCCGCGAAAGCGGGGAGGTAAATATTCCCAAAGCCACTCTTCAGCGAGATTGAAAAGAATAATTGTTTTAGTGTATACACACGAAGTGATCTCAACAAAATCAGAGAGGAAACCATTAAAAAGTACGATTTGATTGACAGATCAAATTACGCTTAAGTTTAAAAATAGATATTTGCAGAATTTTCAAACATGGCAATTCACAAGTTTATCGTTTCGCAAACAACAGCGTAATGGCTTTAATGGAACCGCTAAAAGTTTGAACTGTTTCCTTACCTGAGAAGAAAAGTAGAGCTTTGTTGTTTTCTGTTGACTCGCCAAGTTTATAGCCAAAAGGGTTTGTTGTGTCGTTCTTCGCATGAACTGCTGACAAAAATGACGGCTCGGTTGCTCGAGGTAAGACGTCGTCTTCCTGTATCATTCTTTTTCCTGTTTACTTGAAGCGTAGAATTTCTGCAAACATTTCCTTTTAAATTTGTTTGCCATAAATAAACTTCGATTTTTGAGCCAAAATTTTCTTGTTAGAAAACGCTAAGTTCACGAAACGGCTTCTTCTACGCGAATACACGGGAGTTGTAAACAATCCATCGAGCACAAAACTCAGCTACAGTAAATTGAAAAACGCCGTATCGAATCCTTCCAAGTCTTTTCTTGCCTTAAAAAAAGTCAGGCCTAGGATTTTGTCGACTCTTCAAAGATCGTTCTCTAAAAAAATGGGAAAAACACCGAGCTCACACATTATCCACTCGCTAGGAGGTGAATATTGTTGAATAGTCCGAGATAGCGCACCAATCAGACTGCTTAAATCACCAAGATCACTGAGTGTGTATATACTAAATATATATATGTATATTTTGTGAATGTGCATAATTCACTTATTCCATATTCCTTCACACTGAACGATGTTAAAATTCTTTTTCACAAATATATTCGTTCACATTCGCTGCAATTTTTATATAAATTCACATTCAACGTCAAAATTTTTATTCAACACAGTTGATGTGTTCATTGAACATTTTGTGCGCATCCCTCTTCACACAAGCATTTTCTCCTAGGCTCCAGCTGCATGCTATATATTTGCCTGTATTTACTCTTCTAAGAAAAAATAATATGTCTACTCACTTTTTCCTTTCCCTTTGTTTGAATAATTTATTCAGCGCGTTACGGCTTACTAAATTCCCCGCAGTTCTTATTTTCATACGTGCACATGAAGATCTCAAAAGAGAAAAAAGAAGGTCTGTGAACAGGATAATTATTATTCGATTTTTGTATTTGTTTCTATGTATATACTAATCTTATTAAGAGACATACTTTAGCCCATTAACATTGTTATATCTAGGGACGGACGGGGGGGCGAAGTACCAAAAAAATATTCCCGCAAGGGAAAATCAAGTGAAAAAAAATTCTTGCACGCCAATTAATCCTAAAAAATATTCTTGTCACGGCCTAAAAAAATTCATACAAGGAATTTGATAACTAAAAAAAATTCCTGCGGTTCGAAAATTCCCCTCCCCCCCCATAACGTTTCTAATGGTCCGTCCCTTAAATGTAACATAACATATGTAATTTTATCTTTTGAACAATAAAGACACTTTATTTATTTATTTGATAAAGAAAGGATACAGCTAGTCCTTTATCACACCAGATTATGGCTTCTTCAAACTGCTTCAACTTTAAACAGGTGCTCGCACCTAGTGAAAAAAATTCGGCGCATTGAAAATGAGTAAATGGAGGTAAAATTCAGGTTTTCTACTGAGATTCATTTTTTACCTCGGATAATCGCCTTGAGATAAGACGGCTGTAGTGCTGTGGCAGCTTTAACATCACTCAGACAATCATGGTAATTCTCTGAAAAAGAGTTTTGTTGAGAAAGACGACTTTTCAATCAGTGAAGAATCTTGATATGTGCTTACGCGCAATGATAGAGAAGTGACAGTGACACAGGGAGTATTGGGGGTGCTTGGATTTTTCTTACCGAGCCATCCGGGCTGTCCTTATATTCGACACGACACTGAACACCTTATAAGACTCCTTGTGGGTGCAGGGAAGTATACATCAGCAGAACGCGAAGAAGCATGCATGAAGAGAACGGAAATACGGTTTTCAAGAACACAGACTTGAACTCAGTAATTCAAACAGATGAGACCAGGCACTTTCCGTTTTAAGGCGAGGATAAGATTCTCTTTCAAGACCCCAGGCTTTAAAAAGGTCATACACATAAAAAGTTATCCTGATAACATCAATAATGGCAATAGAGACAGCTGTATTGAGATTCAAGAAGTGCCTTTACGTAAAAGGGCCGGGATGCAGAATAGACGATGGAATGTTGGATACGGAATAAAGTACAATGTCGACATTACATAAAGTTAATATGAATGATACTTTACCCAAGTGATAGTGGGCGGACGCCCTGTTGTTGTACAATTTGGCATTCAGATCCTCATCCTTGCATTTTACTTCAATTCCCTCTGAGTACAATTTTATAGCCTTGACATGATCATCTTTAAGAAATGAATCATTGCCGGCATTTTTGTGAGTTTCTGCTATTGCTGAAATAAAAATGCAAACAGAGTTTCGAGTTCTGCCAGTATCGGAATGAGTCAAGCCAAGAGAAGAAAGCATAACGTCTGATGCCTGACAAAATGTAGATCCACTTGAAGTTAAGACCCTGGTTATAAGTACGCTTTCTGTTTGGAGTTTACTTACTTCTACAATCAAGAGATGTTTGGTTTGTTCGTGAATCGCTCTCCTCTTTTGCTGCTTTATCGCCTTCCTGTGTTAAAGTCTTTTCGCCTTCTATGACAGAACAAGTCTTTATCTCCAGCAGGTCCTTGTTGTCCTTGTCAATCTTATAAGAGTTAAGGGGATAGAAAATAATCTGCGTTCACCTTAAATCAGGCTGACGGCAGTGGTAGCAATGACACGAGTAGCAACAGCATCAGTTGGAGCTGTATTTTAAAATGGTTCGGTAATCCATTTTGTACTTGTAAATGGCTACTCTTTGTGTGAGACGTCAGGACGCGTCACCAACAAGTCTCTTAATATTTAAACCGACTTTGTCGATTCAACCTTAATTTACTAAACGGTGAAAAAAAAAGACATTAATTTGACCCTGTAAAAGCAAAGGAGGTAATAATTCATGCGGTCAGGAATTTGTATTTACTCTTCTACGAAAAACCGTAGCTGTCCACACACGTTTTTTTCCTTTCCTTTTGTTTGAGTATTTATCCAGTACGTTGCGGCTTAATAAATGCCCCGCAGTTCTTATTTTCTTTCGCGCACATGAAGATCTCAATAGAGAAAAAAGAAGGTCTGTGAACAGGGTAAAGAAAGGATACGGCTAGTCCTTTATCACACCAGTTGATGGCTTCTTCAAGCTGCTTCAACTTTAACAGGTCTTCGCGCCTAGTGAAAAAAGTCGACTCATTTGAAATGATTAAATGGAGGAAAAAATCAGGTTTTCTACTGAGATTCATTTTCACCTCTGATAATCGCCTTGAGATAAGACGGCTGTAGTGCTGTGGCAGCTTTTGCATTACTCAGACAATCATGGTAATTCTCTGAAAAAGACGTTTTTTGAGAAAGATGACTTTTCAGGCACTAAAAAGTTATCCTGATAACATCAATAATGGCAATATAAACAGTTGTATTGAGATTCCAGAAGTGCCTTTACGTAAAAGGGCCGGGATGCAGAATAGATGATGGAATGTGGGATACGGAATAAAGTACAATGTCGACATTACATAAAGTTAATATGAACGATACTTTACCCAAGTGATAGTGGGCGGACGCCCTTATGTTGTACAATTTGGCATTCAGATCCTCATCCTTGCATCTAAATTCAATTCCCTCTGTGTATAAGTCTATAGGTTTGACAAAATCATCTTTAAGAAATGCATCATTGCCAGCATTTTTGTGAGTTTCTGCAATTGCTGAAATGAAAATACAAACTGCATAGGTATATTTTGAGTTCTGCCAGTATCTGCATTAGTCAAATCCAGAGAAGAAACCAAAACATAACATTTGATGCCTGACAAATTGTAGATCATCTTGAAGTATAGTCCGTGGTCACAGGTACGTTTTTTGTTGCGAGTTTACTTACATGTACAATCAAGAGATTTTGGGATAGTTCCCGAATCGCCCTCATCTGTTGCTTCTTTGTAGCCTCCCTGTTTTGATACCTTTTCGCGTTCTTTGATAGAACAAGTCTTTATCTCCAACAGTTCCTGGTTGTCCTTGTAAATCTTACTAGAGTGAAGGTGCAGAAAATAATGTGCTTTCTTAAACTAGGACTTATGTAGCTGTTGGCAATAATAGTGGTTATATTATATTTTCAAATAGTTAACTCCCTTTCTGTACATGGCTGCTCGCAGGTCATTTATTTTAATCGACTTCATCGATTCAAACTGCTTTTTTACTGAAACGTAAAAAAAAGAATTCATAGTGACATATTAAAAGTGAAGAAAATAATAGTCGTGCGCGGGGCTGCGTGCATTATTCTAAGAAAGGATACGGTTAGTCCTTTATCACACCAGATGATGGCTTCTTGAAACTGCTTCAACTTTAAACAGGTGTTTGCTCCTAGTGAAAAAAAAAAGTCGACTCGTTTAAAATCATTGTTTTAGGAAAAAATCGCTTTTTCAACTGAGATTCATTTTCACCTCTGATAATCGCCTTGAGATAGGACGGCTGTAGTGCTGTTGCAGCTTTTACGTCACTTAGACAATCTGGATAATTACCTGAAAAAGAGTTTTATCATACGCACATTACAAGGAATAATACGCACGAAAATTAGATTAAATCTTGACTGAGTAAGCAGCGTCTACTTTATATGTAAACCTTGCGTAAGCTCGAGGTTTTTTCAAATCCGATACTACAACACACTTTATGCTATATAACGAAAGTTTAGTGACCAACGAAAGCAAGGTTGTGAGTATTTTATAAGATTCCTTGCGAATGCAGCGACGTAAGCATTGGCGGAACGGGAAGATACATGCATGAATCGAACCTGTTACGGAACATAAATTTAATGCAGTGTTGATGCTTTGAGTTGATATGAATGATACGTTACCTAAGTGATAGTGGGCTGAAGCCCTGTTGTTGTACAATTTTGCATTCAGATCCTCATCGTTGCATTTTACTTCAATTCCCTCTGTGTACAAGTTTATAGCTGTGACAAAATCGTCTTTACGAAATACATTACTGCCAGCATTTTTGTGAGTCTCTGCAGTTACTGAAATAAAAATACAAAAAGAGTCTTGAGTTCTGCCAGTACGGGAGCTATTCAATGCCAGATCGAGAATAAAACTGCAAAATGTTGCCTAACATACGAAATGTAGTGTAGACCCACTTCAAGTAAAGACCCTGGTTAACAAGCCCGCTTTTTGTTTGCAGTTTACTTACATGTGCAATCAAGAGATTTTGGGTTGTTTCCTGAATCGTCCTCTTCTTTTGCTTCTTCGTCACCTCCCTGTTTTGAAAGATTTTCGTGTTCCTTGATAGAGCAACTCTTTATCTCCAACAGTTCCTGGTTGTCCTTGTAAATCTTACTAGAGTGAAGGTGCAGAAAATAATGTGCTTTCTTAAACTAGGACTTATGTAGCTGTTGGCAATAGTAGTGGTTATATAATTTTAGTATATACTAAAAAAGTGGATAGTGTTTTTCGGGCGCTCTGATTGGCTACTCAATCAGTGAATATCCTGCACTATTCACTGATTCACCTCCAGTTCATCCGAGCGAGCGACGCCAAACTCGTGTAGGTCGCGAGCAAAATGCTCTCCCGGTTTGCTGCCGCAACAAACTAAGAAATTTCACAACTAATCAAGCAAGCTATTTCCGAAATACATGAAGAAGGTGACGAAGTTCGGTTTGGAAGTTTTAACAGGTAAAGCTTTGTCTTTTTGACTTGAATAGTTATCGATAAAACCGGGGGAAAGGTTTTTGTTTACAAATGCAAATTAAGCTGAAGTCTTGCGTTACTTTATTTAGTTGACTTGTTCATAAATAAGCTTAAAACTAAATTTAATAATCTTTTTTACAGAATTATTTTAAATACAAACAGAATTCACAACTCCTTTTGAAGAAACTTCCCCGCAAGAGCTAAACAAACGCCTTCAAAAGTTTATTTTGTCGCTAAGAAAAAGCGACGACCGCGGCCGTTCGGTCATCGCGCGCCAAAATTGTAATCGTTGGCAACAGTAAATGAACGGTGTCGGTGGCTACTAGTGGTTATTTACCTCGCCGCTTCGCGGCCTCGCTAAATATCCAATACTAGCCACCTCCACTTCGGTGAATAATTGTTATATATTTTCAAATAGTTGACTCCCTTTCCTTACATATCATGCAATGGCTGCTCGCAGGTCACTTCTTTTAATCGACTTCATCGATTCAAACTGCTTATTTACTGAAAGGTAAAAAAAGAGTTGATACTGACATATTAAAAGTAAAGAAAATAATAGTCGTGCGAGGGGCTGCGCGCATTATTCTAAGAAAGGATACGGTTAGTCCTTTATCACACCAGATGATGGCTTCTTGAAACTGCTTCAACTTTAAACAGGTGTTTGCCCCTAGTGAAAAAAAAAAGTCGACTCGTTTAAAATCATTGTTTTAAGAAAAAATCGCGTTTTTAATTGAGATTCATTTTCACCTCTGATAATCGCCTTGAGATAGGACGGCTGTAGTGCTGTTGCAGCTTTTACGTCACTTAGACAATCCTGGTAATTTCCTGAAAAAGAGTTTTATCGTACGCACATTACAAGGAATACTCCGCACGAAAATTAGATCAAATCTTGACTGAGTGGGCAGCGTCTACTTTATATGTAAACCTTGCGTAAGCTCGAGGTTTTTTCAAATCCGATACTACAACACACTTTATGCTATATAACGAAAGTTTAGAGACCAACGAAAGCAAGATTGTGAGTATTTTACAAGATTACTTTCGAATGCAGCGAAGTATGCATTGGCGGAAGATGCATGCATAAATTGAACCTATTACGGCACATAAATTTAATGCAGTGTTGATGCTTTGAGTTGATATGAATGATACTTTACCCAAGTGATAGCGAGCTGAAGCCCTGTTGTTGTACAATTTTGCATTCAGATCCTCATCGTTGCATTTTACTTCAATTCCCTCTGTGTACAAGTTTATAGCTGTGACAAAATCGTCTTTACGAAATGCGTTATTGCCAGCATTTTTGTGAGTCTCTGCAGTTACTGAAATAAAAATACAAAAAGAGTCTTGAGTTCTGCCAGTACGGGAGCTATTCAAGGCCAGATCGAGAGTAAAACTGCAAACAGATCCACTTCAAGTTAGTAAACGTTGGATAGCGCTATCCAACGGAAATCAATTACGCTATCTGCTGGATAGTGATTTATCTGGTGGATAGCTGTTGCGGTCCAAAGTCGAAAACTCAAACTCCGCGTATGTTAAACTATGTTTTTATTCCGTAAACATTCCAGGTTTCCAAAGACAAATATATAGATCTGATCCGAGTCAACTTCAAACAAATTTACGATGAAGTGGGTCGAAATAAGGTCAAATATCCTACGCACGACGAGTTAGGTTTTCTAGAATCAAATTACAAGCTTATAATGAGTTCAGTGTTGTAATGTTCGTAAGGAAAAGGCCGAAATACAAGTCAGAAAACTTACCGACTGTTTTGAGTTCCACGAGTACACTTCCAAAATGGCAAACTTACAAAGAGTCAGGTTTAAAAAACACCTGGTTACGTTGCAGGCACGAAGTACTTGCGCAGCGGTAGTAACAATAGCGCTATCCAACGTTTGAACAACCGGGGCCAGGTTAACAAGCCCGCTTTTCATGGCTTTTTGTTTGCAGTTGACTTACATGTGCAATCAAGAGATTTGGGGTTGTTTCCTGCATCGTCCTCTTCTTTTGCTTCTTCGTCGCCTTCCTGTTTTGACAGCTTTTCATGTTCCTTGATAGAACAACTCTTTATCTTCAACAGTTCCTGGTTCTCCTTGTCAATCTTACAGGGGTAAAGGTGTAGAAAATAATCTAAATTCATTTTTAACCTAGGACTTGGGTAGTTTTTGGATTAGTAGTAATAATTATGACAGTAGGAAGCACAGTAACAGCTGTAGTTTAAAAAATGGAATCTTTTTCCGTACATATCAAGGGCAGCTACTCTTAATGTAAACCGTTAAAACTCGTCACTGAGAGATCATCATTTTTAATCACCTTTATTGATTCAACTTCTAATTTACTGAAAGCTAAAAAAGAAGTTGATTGTGAAATGTCAAAAGTAAAGAAAATAATAGTTGTGCGATGAGGCAGCTTGTATTGATCTAAGAAAGGATACGGCCAGCCCCTTATCACACCAGATCATGGCTTCTTCAAATTGCTTCAACTTTAAACAGGCGCTCGCTCCTAGTGAAACAAAGTTGACTCATTTGTCATTTGTCATAGAAGAGAAATAAAGCTTGAGATTTTTAAGTCAGTTTCATTTTTACCTCTGATAATCGCCTTGGGATAAAATGGTTGTAGTGCTGTTGCAGCTTTTACGTCATTCAGACAATCATGGTAATTCTCTGAAAAAGATATATATATCAAAATATAATTCCGGACGCCCTTACGCAAAAAACTGACTCTCATTGAGACGAAAAAATTTAAAAATTTAAGTGGCACTTAGCTGATAGGCAGCACGCACATAAAAACTAAATTTGGTTTACGGCCCCCGTCTTATAAAAAATGGACGCAACTGTTACACTCGGACTCACCGTTTACGGTATTAACTCATCGAAGCGCCGTATCAAATTATTCGGTACTTAATTCTGGTCGGCCTTTTTTGAAAACGTCTCATTTAAGAATTACTCAGTACTATGTAAACTTTCTCCCTCTTTCTTTTTTTCGTTCTAGAACAATGAGAAGCTGTATTTTTAAAAGGCATAAGAATCACCATTAAAACATCTTCAGCACCATCTTTAGCACTTGATTTTGAAGAGCTTGAACATTGGATAAAAAGACAGAGACAGCCAAAGGTTTCCTTCGGTTAGCGAGTCTTACTTTTACAAGAAATGAGGGTGCAATCTCTAAACTGAATATTAAAGGAAATCTATAGGGATATCCTTAAATACCACGCACCTGAGTAAATAGAAAGTTAGTTTCTGATCTCTCATTCATTATTTTACCTAAATTGAAGTATACCGTCGATCTGTTGTTGTACAGCTTGGAAACAAGTTCTTTATCCGTGCATTGAATTCTGATTCCTTCCGTGTAAAAGGAAAAAGCTTTGGCAAAATCTTTCTTTGAGTACGCCTCATTGCCCGCATTCTTGAGTACTTCGGCTTTTTCTAAAAGGAAAACAATGTTCCTGAGGAAGTGTGAGCACATGCCTTGCATCAGAGTTTACCTCCCAACACAACTGTCGTGAGAGATTCATTTGTCCCGTGGATTTACTAGACTACAGCTGTAAATTAGTCAGACCAATTCGCTCTAACAAAGGGCTAGCAATCTGAACGTCAGTTTATCAATCTTTCTACGTTGCCGATTTGCTTTAATTATCAACTCAGTTGACTGATAAAGCCAAGTCTTTGTGTAAGTTTTATTTACCTACCGACGCAACACCACAGTTTCTTTACAAACTAACCCCTTTAATTGATAAATAATTTCGTTGTTGTTGACTGAAAAGAGGAACTGGTTAAACTTCCGCCCAGACAAACGAAAGATGCATGTATTGGACTTCCCCGTCGATCCCCTTACTTGCAGAGTCATCCCTGCCCCTTTCCTACAGTCTGTACAGCATTCGTACGGGCGGGCGTACGCTGACGTCATAACCAAATTTTCTCGCTTCGATAGTTTTCCAATTTCTGTGTAATGCAGGCTCCGCTATTACGATCGGGACAGTACGATCACCCCGTTTTCACAACAACCACATTTTGACGTCCAGTCGACGACCTTCTCCACAAAGTTACGTCAAGCAATCAGACAACCTAGCACTATTTTTATTCTGAGCGATCGACATTTCGAGTGATGTAAGACTTCCAGCAGGTGGTGGATAGTAAGCATTAAGTTAAACCTGTCATTCCATATTTTAGTTAAGGCTTAGTATGACACTACCCCGTTTAAGAGACCAAGGTTCATATCAGCGGGGTTAATGCAATCACTAGGTTTAAAACAAGACTGTGAACTGTTAGAGATAGGAAGCACGTACGAGGAACGTTCTGTAACTGTTTCTCGTACCTTCCTTACTCGCACTTTCTGACAAACGCGTTCATTCTATCCGGCTAAGGACGTTTTACGCGGCAAGGTTATGGTGGTCAATCTAGTCTGCTGGCAGTTTTCAGCGGGGAGCGCGCCTGAACGAGCGGAGCAGCCGCGAGGGGAATGGGGGAAAAGTGTGCGCTCTGCAACTATCCTGTTCCAGGCGTTCAAATCGAGGGGAAGGCGCGAATAGATGCGAGTGGGACAGCGAGGGGGTGGGGTAGGGGGTGAGAGGTTCCCTCCTCTCTCCCTCTCCCTCACCTTCTTATCTTTCCTCCCGCTCTCTCACTTCGCGCTGAACTCCACTATCTGAACGCCGGGAACAGTCTATATACTCTACAACCAAACTGCTAGCTACACAGGCTTCCAAAGATCAAGACTAAACGAACTTAAACATTTCCTGCTTCTTCTACAAATAGCGATTAATACTGAAACCTATGTTACAACGTCAACAACTATACTAAACTCCTTTCATTCAGTTTATATACACCTCTTAAAGTGTCCTCCTCAAAGAAATTATCCTCCATTGCCTTTTTACAGGATATGCGACATTCCTTTCACCTGTAGCTTTAATTGAACTCTTTGCCGCAGCACCTGTGTTAAAAAATTAATATTCTTGTAAAATGTAATGATAACGATAATATAATGATAATGATACGGTTACTTACTTTACACAGTTGTAAACTAATTGGAGTCATCTAACTTACTACACACCAAATAACATAATGTACTTAACTAGGATACATTAAGGTGCCTAAGATATCAAATTAATCTACAGTCCTCCTAATTGCGAATGGAAATTTAGCTAGAAGACACATTGCGATACTTACAGCTCTCTGTAGTTAAATGTTGGAGGCCTATCATTTTGATTCTTGAAAGCGTGTATTACATGACTTTTATACTCAATTACGGGATTCAAATAGGTATCAATTGTTCGGGCACAGATTCGTATTGAGAAAGCTTAAGCTACGTGCAAGAGAGCGCAACAATCCCAACATTATTAGGCCAACAATGTTGTAAGTTGTTGCGTTCGTGTTGGCAGTAGTGTGCAAACGGACGCAACAACTCCCAACACTGTTGGGACCTGTAATGCTTCGGCGTGGAAAGGATACAGACCATAAGGATTTTGTAAACTCCAAGGAGACCATGTTTAATGCGCGTGCGTGGCCTCTACAACGTTGGAAGAGCTGCCATATGCATTGTAATACGGATCCAACATTGTTGGGCCACGCTTCGAAGATCACAGAACAAAAGAAATTTTGAGAGTTGTTGGTTTAAAACTTTGACTGGTGTCAAACTTTGCACAACAACTCCCAACGACACGCAACAACATGCAACAGGGTGTGCAAAAGGACGCAAAATGTAACAACTAACAATGTTGCATCCGTTTGAAAGGGGCTTAAGACTCTTTACGAACACAATGGGCGCAATTCAAGCACGACGTTTGACTCAAGGCTGTACCAACCTACTGATCCTGCATAACGTAATCACGACAGAAATTGTCGAGTCTAATCACTTGGCAGGATAATTGATTCAAAGAGTTGTTCTATAATTGTGTCTTATTTCACGAGAAATATAAAACTGGCCCTTCAAATCAGTTAAATTAAAAGCCTCTAGACCATTCTTATAACATAAGAGAAATCATCAAATATCAAATTCTTTACCTTTTTTCACCTCCCTAAAATTACAGGAAGCTCCTTTGCGTACGGCCCTGGCTTTTTACAAGTATGTTAATATTAATAACACAAAGAACAAGGAAATGAAATTTGGTTCCGTAAGTATCCCTTCGGAGTTTAGTTCGTTTTCCTAACATGACGTAAGAAGAACAACACCTTTAATAAGCGTTCTCTGTTTAGAACCACTTAGTGATAACAGCTACAGTGTCGCCAAGAAGAATATAAGTCGTTTCGTAACTCCAAAGACACGACACGTCCGACATGACTCTGCTTACCTCGGGCTAAACTTGTTTTGTTCGTTGATATGAAGACACCATAAATAGAAGCGACGGAATGCCAACTATTCATGCATCCATTCCACTTACCGACTCCTTGGTTCGCCAAAGACTTACCGCTATGTTTAGTGCGTATGTTTATAGTATTGATAGTAGACTAAAAGTTTCGTCATTTCAATTTGAATGTTCGGTCGACCGTGAATTTTCCCTTGACCAGGATTAAGCATATCCCTTGTGATATCGATAACACTTTTACATAACTCCGAGTAGGGCTAAAAAAGCTTCGGGTTCGTTCATATAAAGGTATATAAATAGACACCTGCCTGATCGTCATGAGACGGCTTTCCGCCAACTACATTACCCTATTGGAGCGTCGATCGTAACTCTTACATGTAAATTTCCTCCTTTTAATATTGTAACTTTCATATCACGGTGGCAAAACGCAAATTTTGGAGCCGTTCTTGAAATCTGCACACCCCATGAAAGTACAACAAATTAGAGCTTTTAAAACCTTGTCATATAAAGAGGCGATAAACTTAAGATAAAGACTTTGAAACTTACCGGACGACTGACTATTGAACCGTCTGGAGTCTACGATCAAGCAAGCTTACACCAAGTTCCCAAACGTAACATTTTCTAAAAGTGTAAATGCTTAAAATGCTTGTGCTGCCTTAAATTCATGACATTTTCTACGGAGAGAAAGGCTATGGAATCTCAGTATATTAACGAGCTTTGTAGTATACGAGTATACTACTAAAATATGCACCCGTGGTACAGCAAACAAATTGAAACCTAACAGGAGGGAAAATTCCAGAGGGACGATTAATTTTTGAGGGGGTAGTACAGGGGAACTCAGACAGAGGAATAAACTATGATATCACCCATTATCCATTTAAAACTGTTTTTAAATTTTCGATAGCTGTCTAAATGATCGGTTATTAAATTGCAGACAAATAGGCTTTTGTACATTATGCTAGCATTTTTTCGAGCATTTTAGTGAGGCAAAAGCTTTGAGCATTATTCGGGCATTTTAGTGGCATTTTTCCCGGAAAATTAATTTTTCCGAGAAAATAAAATAGAAATTAGCTTTTTTCAGGAGCCCATGCCCCATGAGTTCCTGCTTTTTTGAAAAAAATGAAGACTAAAACTCAAAATTCACAAAAAACCTAATACAGCTGGGTTTTTTTGGCTGTATTTATGAACTTGTATACGTTGTCGTTGTTACTTACAACACTTGCACGTTTTTTAATTTAAAAAACCGTTTGTATAATGAGCATTATCTGAGCATTTTAGTGACTTATTTGGGGAGACCGAGCATTTTAGTGGGAAAAATGAAGCATTAAAGTGGAGCCTTTTAGTGGGGAAGCAAAAGCATAATGTACAAAAGCCTACAGACAAACAGCTTTGCGTCTATCTCTTTACGTCGCCCTACTCTTTAGGTTTGTGACATGCGCGTTGCTTAGCGACCCTGATGACAATGTTTATATCTTACTAAAAGTGTCTGGTTCTGTTTGCTTGCTCTTTCAGTGACCGAAATATTAGCTGTTTGCATGTAATACAAACGAAAACGCTTCTTTCCTTTCGCGAATTCCTTTGCACTAACTATGCATAGTTTTTCCACATCTAAATGAAAAGCCCAGGTTAGCAGGAAGTCATGGCGCGTTTGGCAGAGTATGTGCCCGAAGGCTACTCTTTGCCTTTTTTTCTTATTGTATTGGATTCAATGTTGCATTCCAAATTAAAAACACCTAGATCTTTTATATCTTTTATTGGTTGGTAATGTGAAACTTTTGCGCCTTTTAAAGACAACAGTGTGGTGATAATTACGACTCCGACGTGCAGATCTAAAAAAGACTTGCAAAAGCGGCAAATTGAGCATTAGAAGTCACCTCCAGTCTTTTCCGCGCGTTTTCGCTGTGTTCCCTTCGTCGGGGCCGATTACTATAATCGGCTTCTGCCTTTGGTGCTTTTCACCTCGTGTTTGTGCTGTGTCTTTTCTGTTTGCTTCTAGAGCCATTTCGAGGCCGTTTTGGCGAGTTTTAAAGATTTTGAGTTGCAATACTAT